TTAGAGAGAATGAAATGTTGGGTTGGAATGGAAGATGTAGTGGAATAAGAAGGGAAAGGGGATAAGGGAAAAGTTGTTGTAAAGTTGCCTCTTATTAAAGTGGGCATAGACTTGGCTGCAGTCAGGGTATTAGAAGTGTGATACTCTTCTATAGTAATACTTGGGCTAGGATCAGATCCTTCAGTTTCAGACATCTGGAATGAAATAAGTAGTATTTATATAGAGGGTAAGCAACTTCAAGACATAATAACATTTTTAGATAAATATAAATAGAAGCACATGCTCCATGTTAGATGTATAAATATGATGCCCACAAGGCTAATCATAATAAATATGATTTAGAATACACTGCATAAATAAATGCATATGATATATTAAGATTATGAATTATCATAATATAAATATGATGCCCATAAGGCTAATCATAATAAATATGATTTAGAATACACTGCATAAATAAATGCATAAGATATATAAAGATTATGAATTATCATAATATAAATATGATGCCCATAAGGCTAATCATAATAAATATGATTTAGAATACGCTGCATAAATAAATGCAAATGATATATAAAAATTATATTTTATCATAATATAAATATGATAACCTTTAAGAATAAAGGTAAAGAATATAATGCATTAATAAATGCATATGATATATAAAATAATATGAATTATCATAATATAAATATGATAACCTTTAAGAATAAAGGTAAAGTATACAATGCATGAATAAATGCATATGATATATAAAATAATATGAATTTATCATAATATAAATATGATAACATATCAAGTCTAAAGGTATAGTATACACTGCATGAATAAATGCAGATGATATACAAAATAATATATATTTATCATAATATAAATATGATAACATATAAGTAAACAGGAAACTAAATTTCCTAATATAAGTATAGTACTTATGAAGGATAACTAAGTGAATAAACTATTGTGAATAGTTAACGACTCTCTGGCTTATGTTTGGTTAGAGAAGAGTAGCCGTCTCTTCTAATGTTAAGTCTAATTATTATTACCTAATAAATGTAATCAAGAAATCTCAGGACTGCGCCTTTCCAGGACTTGACGAAACGCTTTTCCCCTTTGCATTGAGATGTATGGGATCGTAGGAGTCATCTATCAAATTTGACCATTGATTTTATATTGGGTGGTATGTGGGTGATGGAGGAAGAAAAGTCTATTGCCCTTATGAGATGAATATCATTTAACAATTTGAAATTGGTAGATAAAAATTTTTGAATTATATTGAATGCATTCTGAAACAGTATTGATCGAGGATTTGAAAGGATGCCATGAGCATTGAAATAGTTCTCCAATATAAAAGGCTTTTAATGAAGGATGTATATCTAAATATTGTTCAGTCAAAGTGATGAGATTTTCTGCAACAAAGGTAGATGATCTATGAACCAGATCAATTTCTCCTAGCTGTAATATAGCCATATCTGGGTAGGGATTTTTATATTTTACATCATCTTGAAATTGTTTAATTGTATATACAATGGTGATATTATAGTTAACTATGTCTTCCTTTCCGAACAAAAATGTGGCCTATAATGTTGACCCTAATATCATTAGGCATCTCTAATAGTCTTGTATAATGGGAGAAGAAAGGTAAGGATATTTTGACTCCTGTCTTATCCTCAGAGTAAAGTTTATTATGTGCAATAAGGTGTCAGAAATATAGAAGAAAAGGAATAATATAGCTCTCTCAAGAGATAAATATATATCAAGTAATGAAATGATATCTGTACCTTCATGGTACTATGAATAATCCCAATAACAACCAGAAATCTCTGGAATGGGATAATAAATAGAATAGATATATTTATTTAATAGCCTACAGGTTACTTACACTCGTAAATAAATGAAATATCTATCATTAGATTGGATGGAGTCTATTGAACGTACATGTAACTTGAGGACATGTATGTGACTTACTTCGGTCCAAAGCCTTCTCTATATTCCGGCTTTGAGTAGAAAGATTAGCTGCCTTGGTATTGTAAATATTGTAAATCAAGGTGCCACACGCACAGTGAATACGGCATAATAATATGAAAAATACCTTTATGTATAGATTTGAGAAACATCAGCACACATCTCCGTCTGAATCTATTGTTATATTTGATTTCTTAAGCGAGAATAATTTCAAAGTTTCCTACATTATTAACGTCTGGAACCGGAAGCCATTTTTTAGCTACAGCGAGAAAATTTTACCATGTGTCAAACTCCGAAAAGAAATTTTGAAATATCTAAATCCAGACAAGCAACACTTCATCCTAAATATAATTAAAATTCTTAAATATTTATAAAATTTATCAAAAATGATTTCTAGGTGCGTGTAGCAATTTATACATACGAAATACGAGTACATACGAAATCAATGAAGTTACATCTAGCTGTAAGGTAGAGACTCGAGTAATATGTGACGCGTCCATATTCGTCAATAAATTAATTCTTTTGTATAAATTCAAGTTTTAAACCATATGTACGAGATGTCAATTGAATATTTCAAACATAAAACTACAAAGTCATAAAGACAAAAGATAAAACGTGTTTGAAATTTTTTGAACATTTTTAAACTGACGTTTTTTGTGTGAAATATTACGATAAAATTTTCACAAAACGATTCAGCGATAGATAAATGTATATACAAGAGATAAATGTCGATAAAAAGAATCGAAATGTATAACTTACATTGATGTTAATGGATTTTGTACGCACCTAGGGAGAAAACCCTCCAACTACAATCCTATCGAAATCTCGTCTGAAGTCTCATCTCGTACTCTCGAGATCTGAAGCTTGATGTTTCGTTCAGTGTAACTTACCAGAAACATTTACCTGGGATAACCGGGGAATGGTCTTCTTAGGGCTTGTTCATACCTAAACCTTAACCGACTCTCACATTGCCATAAATGAAATTATTGTCAATAATTTGAATGACTACATTTGACAAAATGAAAAACTAGGCTATACAAGATTCTAGCCTAGACTAAGGTCGGTACATGTACATAAGTGGCGTGCACATATAATCTAGGCTTTAATTATCCCAACGAACGAAGTTCCCTAGAGATTTTGTGAAGCCGTCCGTCCGTCAGTCAGTCTGTCCGTCTGTCCGGAAGATAACTCAAATATTAGTTGACCGATTTTCTTCATATTTGGTGGAAAGATGTATATTGATAAAAAGTTTTACGCAAAATTTTTTTTCAAGATGGCCGCCACTTTAAAAATGACAAGGCTTTTTCGCAAAAATCATAAATTTTTCATTCTAAACCGAAGTAATTAATATTATTGTTTGAAATGTTGGTAGTATATTCACAACATCTATCTATTTCACACCCAAAGCATATATTCCGTGTTTTTCATCCTGACCCCCAGGGGCCGTGTATGGGGGGTCAGGAAAACAGAGATTTTCGCTAATTTTTAGATCTTTCTGAAGTATAGCTTTATTATACTCAAATGAAAGGCAATTAAGAGTAAATTGCAAATATTGTATCTTTTTTCTGATTCGAGCCTCGTAAAATTCAAAATGGCCGTCTAATGTACGATTTCGCAATAATTTTTCGATCCCTTCAAAGTATGGCTATATTATACTCAAATTGAAGGAATTTTGGAGTAGATCACAATTATGGTATTATTTTTCAGATTTGTACCTCAGAAAATTCAAAATGGCTGTTTTGCAGGAATTCGCAATTCTAAATCTTCCAATTTTAATCAAAGTAATGAGTATAATTGATTGGAATTCGGTAATTGATATTTTGTTCGTTGGGATTTGCTACTCCGCGGAGTTGCCGTTATCTAGTTTACATACCTGAAATAGATGGATACCCTCAAGTCAAAACTCGGCTAGAGTCCAAGTCATCAGAGACATCCTGGGTGTAGCGCTAGACTGTATCCTAATTCGTTTGTTGGATACATGCTCTGGTGTAGCGCTATATTTTGAGTTGGTACGCCCACTTGGGATTGTCTTATCTTGGGAGGATCTTGCTCCTCCGATAATTAAATCCAATGTAATGTGACGTCATTTCCGTAACAACGATATACTTGGAGAAACCTCCCAACTCTTAGTGGATTCCCCAAATCATTTTACGTTTATATACAAAAAGAACCCTAACTAGGGTATAATAAATGTTCTCGATCATTCATAATGCAATCGATTCGTCATCTTAATATTAATTATGATAATAAAAATGCATTATTCTTTCAAGTAATAAGCCCAAAAACGGCAATGTTATTATATTTGATTGAAGGTGGGCCCTCATTAAATACAATGGACGAAACGTCCTGAAAATTGCTAAAAGTAGGGGTCATTGTAACAGCCAACACTCCCGTCAATATTTTAGACATTTACATTTTATTCATATGGAATCAAAGATGAATATCCACTCTAAATGTATAAGTAATGAAAAGTAATATAAAAAACGACAAAATGCAGAATTAAGGCTTCGAAAAGTTAATACAACCTTTAACCGAAGGTGAACGACATTCTGTCCAACGAGTGTAGAATTTCAGCATATTGAATGGCCTATCATTATTTATTCCGACTCAAACATAAAAAAATGAAAAGATTGTTCTGAGAATTGGGAATTGAGGTCAATGAAATGACCAAAGTTGCTGCTATTTTCGCCATTCCCAGGTGTGGCATCAAAATCCAACACAATACATGTACATCTACATAGATTCATAGAAGCAGATCGAATAGAGCACGGTCGTGCATCTATGGAGAATTAGAGAATGGCTCATATCAGCTATGCAGCATTCTTATTGGTTGAATGTTGGTTAAAAGATTGTGTTTTGTGTCTTATAATATGTTGTTCCGTATTATAACTTATAGGTGTTTTCATTTTGTTATGTCATCACCAAAAGTCTTATTGTCTCCAACTTTTTTCTGGACTTTGGTTGGTGTTTTACAATCTGCATCTGTAACAAATGGCAGGTGACATTTTGCATGTTAATGCCTTCCTTTTTTATTTCAGACTGTGTCTATAAATCATTCTAGATGTCAACCAAGAACAATGTTAAAGTGGTGGTCAGGGTACGTCCAAAGTTGAGTGAGGACAAACTGTGGGTAGACGTTGTCGATGACACTACTTTACAGACTGTCAACCCCAGAGATACCACCAAGACTGACCAGTATGAGTAAGTTAGTTTGAGTGTTTGAGATAGTTTCCAGATTTCAACAGTTGTAAAGAACAATGATTTCATTTACCCCTCCCCCTGAACACTCTCCATTATCCCCCTCCCCCTCTGAAAAAAACTCTCCATTATCCCCCTCCCCCTCTGAAAACTCCATTATCCCCCTCCCCCTCTGAACACTCTCCATTATCCCCCTCCCCCTCTGGACACTCTCCATTATCCCCCTCCCCCTCTGAACACTCTCCATTATCCCCCATTAACAAGAATTTAAATACAATGCTTTTCATGTCACAGGGCTGAAATCTGAACTTTTGACTGTCCTTGTATTTAAATTGGGAAACTAAAATAATGATTATACCAGTAGTGCAAAATGCAATCAGGGAAAAGTTTTGAAAAAATAGGGATGAGATTTCTAGTGTTCAAATCTAATTTTCCTGATTGAGTACAGATATTCATAGGTGAAAGTTTCCGCATATATTTAACTTGAGTGGTCATCGTTAATTAAATGTTTTAGATAAAACATATTCATTGTACACTAATTGCAAATAATAGTGGGTTGTATTTTCTCCATAGGTTTGCACGGGTGTTCAACAGTGACTGTAGCCAAGTGGATGTGTACAACAATTGTGCCATTGACAGTCTGAAGCACCTCATGCAAGGTTTGAACGTATCAATATTTGCATATGGCCCCACTGGTGCAGGTAGGAATTATATATGTAGTAAAACCTGTAAAGTGGAACGCCAATAGAATTGGGAACATATCTGTTAGTGGAACACATTTTGGAGTCTCATGACCAACTGAATTTTAAATGAACCTCTGTTAGTGGAACACCTCCCAAGTGGAACACTTTTAAGGGGTTCCAAAGGTGTTCCACTATGACAAGTTTTATTGCAAACACTGCCTTATCTGAAGTGTAGACTACTGGAACTTGTCAAAGGCATTCAGATTCATAGGTGTTTCCAATGACAAGGTTTCTCTAAATGTGAGTCAATGGGTACCTCCAAGGAAATTGCATCCTCTGATCACAGGGCTTCAAAATCCAAAATATCTTCTTTCTTTTTACTCCCTGCTATAACCAAGTTGGACACGCCCGATTAAACTGAATCATGTGATCTAATTATGCGCCGATAACAGCCAATCAAATTGCGAGTTCTTAATCGGGAAAATGCTAACTGCTTATAGCAGGGGGGAAGAAGGAGGTACGGATTCTGGACAACTGCTTAGGAGGATGAGGAAATTGGGACCATGAAAAAGTGTTCACATTAAGAGGTATTTGGTTTTGAGAGGTGTTCAGATATACAGGTTTTACAGTTTTTTTCTATAATTTAATGTAGGGTATTAGCATTTGGTCAAACTGATTCTCTTATAGATTTTATGGGCTATTAAAAGTAGATGGCTTATCTTAATTATTGTTTACAATTTAAAAGCCTTATATTGATGCATGTGTGCAAACCCAAGAAACATCATAAGTAAACATGCTAAAGGCACATTTTACAAAACAGTTCACATGGGGACTATCCAGGCCCCGCTGACATCATGAGCAATGAGCTCATGTTAGAAGCGAGGCCTTGAGAGATATGATAAAATTGAAATATAAAATTTTCTATGAAACTTTGGTAAGTGAAACTCAGTACAACTTTATTTCATAGTACAATGGATATTTCAATTGCAGGGCAACGGGGTTCTTCAACAATAACTATATTTTATCATATCTCTCAAGGCCCTGCTTCTAACATGAGCTCATTGCTCACGATGTCAGCGGGAACTTGCTCGCGATATAAAGGGCCTGGATAGTCATTGTGGTTCAGCTCTTTTCATGCCACCTCCATTCATTCAGCCATTGGTGAAAAGTCATACTATACTACTAAAGCTTGTGGAGTGGGTATATATAAAAACATGCATTTTTCTTATTGAATCTCATGCTAAAGGTAATAATTTTATTATTTGTTTCAGGCAAAACCCACACCATGCTAGGCACACCTACTGCCCCTGGAATCATTCCTAGGTCAGTAAATGGACTCTTCCAACTGATTGAAGAGTCCAAAGAAGAGGGGTGGAAGACTGAGGTCTCATATTCATATCTTGAAATTTATAATGAAAAGGTAATTTTACATTTTAGTTTCTCAATGTGATGATTAAGATAATGTAACTTTTGTCAGTTTTTCTACTAGAGAGTACCTGTATTGCTTTCTAGCACATTACAATCTTGTTCTGCCATCTATTTATTCATCTTCATAGCAAAGTCTCTCTTTTATGAAACACATCAGTATACATGACGCATATGTTTCCTTGAATATAATTTTCAGGTGCACAACCTGCTTAACCAAATGGAACAAAACCTATTTCTGTATGATGTAACATGATATGTCTCCACCACAAGTCTTGCTATATTGTTATTTGTCTCCAACTGTTTTGTGGATGGTGTTTGGCAGTTGGTGTCTGGTGGTCGGTGTTTTGTGTGAGGCATCTTTAACAATTGGCAGGTGTTAGCATTTTTCCTGTTATACTTGTATATTGTTTTTCAGCTGTATGATCCACTTGTCCCAAAGGGAAAAGATCAATATCTCTATGATGTAACATAATTTATGTCTCCACCACAAGTGTTACCATATTGTAATTCGTCTCTAACTGTTTTGTGGATGGTGTTTGGCAATTGGTGTCTGGTGGTCAGTGTTTTGTATGAGGCATCCTTAACAATTGGCAAGTGTTAACATTTTGCCTGTTATGCTTGTATATTGGTTTTCAGGTGCACGATCTACTTGTACCTAAGGAACAAGATCTAGCAATAAGATGTGACCTTAGGGGAAAGATCTTTGTCACTGATCTGGCAAAAGAAATTATCACAAACAAAGAGGAGTTCAATAAGAGTTTTGGTTTAGCAGCAAATAATAGGTAAGCATATGATTTTGGATATAGTAATGCAATCGATGAATATGATGTGATGAAAATAATAATCCTTATTGATTTTAAATATTTTGCAGAATATATTTTTAGTTGAAAAGCGATGTGTAATGAAACAAGTTATTAAGGTGTTCAATCTCCTTGACAACAGCAAGTAATTCACTTCAACAATACAAGATTTTTTTTTTTCTTTTAAATATTTATTTCATATTATATATTTGTACATTATTTCATTCACATTTAATACAGCAAATCACAATTTTTTTTTATTATTTTAGTCAGTGTTTAACATGAGGTTCATAAACTGTGATGCATTTGTTTTTTTAGCATACCTAATAAGATACATGTGTCTATGGTAAAAACAATTAAGGGAAAAAATTATTATTAAACTTTCATACATTCATACATACATACACCACTCATACTCATTTGTGCACATTCATTCTCACTCAGCGAAAAGAAAAAACAAATAGATCATTTATTAGTCTATGTTTTCATATATGTATTTCCATTCTTCACAGGTATTATTATAATTTGCTATGTTCACATAATGTTTGAGGCTAATTACAAAGTCAAAGAACACAGGTTTTGTTTTCTTCAGAAAATGTTTATAAAAAAATGTTTCATGATTAAAATCAGAATATTGAAATTAAAATATTTGTCGTATTTTGGCTTATGGCCATACAGTATATCTTTGTTACTTAACGCTATGTTATAATTATATTTTGAAACAAACAATTGAAAATCAGTCCATAGAGCTTTTGTAACATTACAATTCAAAAAACATGTGGTTTATTGTGTGGACATCATCACAATATGGACAGATGGCTGATTCATCTATTTTCATAATGAAGAGTTTTTTACCGCAGACAAGAATATTATGCAAGATTTTAAACTGGAATTCCTGTAAGTATTTGTCCTTTGTCATTTGACGGGGGAGTAGGTAGTAGTCTTTGGTTTCTTCTTCACCTATATATTGCTTTATCTTCCCTATGGCTGTTGGTAATTCAGTGTTTCTTTTGTTCAATATGGAATGGGCTGCTTTGCATGTTATGGACTGTGGATTGAGAGGAACTTTTGTTGGTGTTTCTGGAGCTTTCTGGTTTTCTTTTAAGAGATGTTTCCATTCTTTTGGTATTGCAGAAATAAGACCATTGTATTCTAGATCATTTAATGTTACTCTGTATTGTGTTTGTAGTTCTTGTTTTGACATAAATCAATTCTCTGTGTTCCTAATATCCCTTATTTGGTTTACTCCTTCTGCCGATTTTATTAAAACTAGATTTTCCAGCTATCAAAATATGTTGATTATTCCATAGGAGTTGTTTCAATACTTCCTCGCTACTGTTAGGCTTTCTGTCTCCTCTGACTTCTTCCCATCCTTAAAGAATTGAATTGTAAAAAGCTGGTATATTCTTTAATTTAGTGGTTTCTAATTTATAATTTGACTCAAATATCAAGTTTCCTCCAACTTCTTTTAAATAAAAATGTGGTAAAATTTTCCATTGTCCACCCTCTTCCGATGTTCAACGCTTTATCCATGAAACTTTAAGTGCTGTATCTAGTGTTCTGAAGTCAGGCATTTTTAATCCCCCATCACAAATGTTTCCTATCATAGTTGTTTTTTTAATTTTTCAGGTTTATGACCCCATACAAAGTCACTTATAATGGTATCAATTTCTTTTATATACTTTTCAGGAATATTATCAACAGTAGCAATATTTGTAATCTGTGAAATACCTTGAGCCTTTGCTAATAAAATTTTACCCTCAAGTTTAAGGTTCCTCCTCGTCCAAATGTTGAGTTTACTTTTTATTTTATCTATCTTTTTAGTAATATGTTATTATGGATGGATGTTTCGTTTGAATAGGTGAAGCAGTACCCCAGTGCTGTTACTTCATTCGTTTTCTTTATTTCTTTGTAATTATCTTGTTTGGTTTTGTTAGATCCAATCCACATCAGTTCCGATTTATTTTTGTTGATTTTAAGTCCAGAACTATTCTCGAAATCGTTCATTGTCTTCATTAATTCATCTATAGATTTTTGATTTCTTAATATTACGGTGAGGTCATCTGCGTATAAAGAGATTCTCACCTTCTCACCTTTTATATCAATGCCTTCAATATTCTCATTTTTCCTTATTGATACCGCTAAAATTTCCATTACCAATATGAACAATATTCCTGCTAATGAGTCTCCTTGCCGTACGCCTCTTTGAATCCTAAAATAGTTTGATGTTTGACCGTTTTTAAGTATACAACTCTCATTTTTGTTATATATACATTTAAAATACTGAATGAACTTATCTCCAAAACCGAATGCTTCCAAAGTTCTCTCAATGAAATACCACTCCACAGAATCAAATGCTTTCTGGAAATCTAGCAGCAGGAGGCCTGGTATATTAGCTTCATCAGTGTATTTCATAATATCTTTCAAAAGTCTTACATTTGTTCCAAGAAATCTATTTTTAACATAACCTGTTTGATCTGGATCTATTATAGTTGGGAGGATGTTTCTGAGTCTTTCAGCAAATACTTTGGTCATTAGCTTGTAGTCCGTGTTAAAGAGAGAAATGGGACGCCAGTTAGCTAATTTTGTCCTGTCTTTTTAGGGATTAAACTTATGATGCCACGTCTCTGTGAAGTAGATAGTTCACCATTTACTAATGCAAAGTTTAAGCTATTTATTAATTCAATTTTAATATTATTCCAAAAGGTGATGTAAAATTTGGCTGGTGTTTTGGCTTTTTTGAAGGTTTTAAGTACTTTTATGCATTCAGTTTCACTCATTAGTTGCTCACATTTAAGTTTATCATTAACACTTATTTTTGGAATGTCATTTTCAAAAAAGGTATTGTTGATTCGGGTATTTTGATCCTCTTTAAACCTAGAAGAATAAAGTTTTTCATAAAAAATTTTCTGTTCCTCTAATATTTCCTTCGGCTCTGATATCAAATTTCCATCTTCCTTTGTAATTTTACTCACAACTTTATTCGATGATTGATTTTTCTCCAGGTCGAAAAAATATTTTGTAGACTGTTCTCCATCTTGGTACCACTTTGCCTTAGATCTAATGATGTGACCCTTTGTTTTGTGTTCTTGAATTAGTTCTAACTTTATTTTTATTGATTTTAATTCATTTATGTTTGCTTCATTTGGTTCTCTATCAACTTGTATTTGAGCTAAATCTGCACTAACAATTAATCTCTTTTCCTCTTCTCTCTTTAGTTTTGCTTTTTCTTTAGAATATTTAATACAAGATTCTCTTATTTTCATTTTCATGAAATCCCATTTTATTCTTGGGTCAACTAAATCTATAGATTCTTCTTTTATTTCCTCTATGGTAGTGATCATTTTTTCTTTAAATTCTTCATTTTGTAAATGTGATGTGTTTAATTTCCAGAAGCCCGAACCTTTCCTCTTATAGTCTTTGGATTTAAGTGTAATTTGAGTGCCTAGGTGATCTGGGGATGGTGCATTTATTATATCACTGCTTGTGTTGTCTTCCAAATGGGAGCTCATCAAAAAATAGTCAAGCCTGCATTGGACCTTGTAATCTGCATTGTGCCATGTAAATATATTGGGTGTTGGGTTCTCCATATATCTTTTAGGCTAAAAACATTTTTGATCTTTGCTATCTCATCTATTACCTTGGCTTTTTCTTTCACTAAATGTCCACCTTGTTTAACCATTTGAGTCAGAGCGCAGTTAAAATCACCTCCAATTATTAAGTTCTCAGGTTCATTTGATTCTAAAATTTCATTCATGCTTCGGAAGAAGGTTATTTGTTGTTGTTTCTCATTGGGGGCATATATATTTAACAAAGTAAAAGGGTTTTCATCAATGTTTATATTTATTAGTATGTACCTGCCATTTTGGTCAAGTTTCACATTGGTAATTTCATAGTCAAGTTTTTTACCGAATAAAATCATTGTACCCTTACTGTGATTTGTGCCATGACTAAAGGAGCATTCACTATTCCAATCACTTCTCCATTTTTGTTCTACATTTGGAGTACTGAATGTTTCTTGTAAAAACACAATATCAGCGGATTGATTCTTAATCCATCTAAATACATTATTTCTTTTTCTACCCTGATGTAAGCCTCGAGTATTTAAGGAAATAATTCTAAACTTGTACACCATAGATTAAAATAAACATCTGTGAAAAATGTTGTTTAAATTGGTTTTGCACAAACACACACATTCATCCATAACATAATCACTCATTCCAACACTACACTCTAAAACAAAACAAAACAAAACAGCAACTGGTTAATTGGTAAACAAATTTATTAATGATGGGAAAATGATAACTTCCAAGATTCACTAATCCTGGTATTGCAGAATTGAAAAATAAAGTTTCTGCAATAAAAACAGGGAATTCTCAGACGCACAAGTTTAAATGTTTTCGTACTTATGTATGTACATACAGCTTTTTTAAACTGAATAAGGTAGAGACTACTGGGAAGTTTAATCGGAGATTCATGAGTCACGACAAGTCAAACACTTGTCCAGCACTGGCAACAATACAAGATAATATAGAAAATTGATTATGACATATTAAGAACATAGTTTAGGAGAAAATAAACCGATGTATTACATATATTTTTCCTATTTAGGACCACTGCATCTACCCTCCTCAATGAGCACAGCTCTAGGAGTCACAGTATACTCATCCTTAATGTAACTCGCACCCAGGCAGTTGAACCATTTGCTAGACGTCATGGAAAAATGTACCTCACTGACTTAGCTGGCTCTGAAAACAACAGAATGACAGGGAATGAAGGACAGAGGTATGTGATAAGAATAAATTCATAATATTTGGTCAGTATAAAGACATACATATTGCCTTTATCCATAAAAATTTCACCATGATCCCTTTGCAAATAGGACACCATTTGTATCAGTTTCTGAACATGTTTCTTCAGGTTGGTAATCAATTTTTATATCCATAACTGTTACTGTTTGACGCAACCTTAAATTTATTGTTTATTGACGTTTCGAAAACACTTCGTGTTTCTTCCTCAGAATTTTAACTTTTCAATAAACAATAAAAAGGTTGCGTCAAACAGTAACAGTTATGGATATAAAAACATTTGTATCAGTGTTTATTGAACGACCCTTGTAGATCTGTTTATCATTGTATCAGTGTTCCTTGTCAAGCATCTTTTAATTATGGATTTAAAACCAGGTCTCTTTTAATATTACAATTGAAAAAAAACTTATAGATTGGCCCAATGATCTATCACATTGAGACAGTTGAACCAAATTAGTTTATGGTCCTCATAATTGTTTGACACCAAAACTATTGTTTTTATTATTCATAAATAATTTATGACTCCAACATTTAGGTTTCAGTTGTGTAATTTGGGACAAATGGGACAGTACATATCATTCTTATTGCACCCAATGTAACTCTTCAACATCTATATTCCAGGATGCGTGAAAGTGGTGCTATTCACTTTTCTCTGCTAGCCTTGAGTAATGTGGTTGAAGCACTGAACAAAGGCCAAGCTAGGATTCCATACAGAGACTCTAAGCTAACTCGCCTTCTTCAGGACGCCCTTGGAGGTAATTCTCACAGCTGTCTCATTATCAACGTTGCACCCGAAGAGAGCCATCTATATGAGACGCAGCAAACTTTGCTGTTTGCGCGCAAGAGTAAACGCATCATAAATACAGTGCAAAAGAATGAGACATTTGGTAAGTGTAATTTTGAATATTTTTTCTTAATTAATTTTGTTTGCAATTGTGAACCTTAATGTGTGTAATTTTCTTGTAAACCAGAGATCAAATGGCTGGTGAGGCTTAGAATTGTTCTAAAATGTCATTTCCACTTCAGTTGACTTAAATGGCTTGCCTTACAGAGCTGATCAAGCTTACACGCAACATGTTTTTTTGTCCAGTTATCACCCAAATCATCTGTTGTTTTGAAATTTTTTAGAACAGATCCCTTGTTAAGTTATAAACAATGCTTGTTGTTCATGTCACCACCACAACTGATGACATATTGTTTGTCAACTTTTTTGTTGGTGCTCGGAATTTGGCAGTTGATGTTTGTCGGTTGGTGTTTGGCTGTTGGCACTTGGCATCTGTGACAAATGGCAGGTGGTGACATTTTGCATGTTAATTCTTTACAATTATTCTCTTATATGCATTCTTTATTATCTGCAGTGACCCCAAAGATGTCAGCCAAAAAGAGAAGATCTGAGGGTGGAAATAATGAAGCTCCGATTCCCAAGATGCCCTCCTTAACACCATATATGGGCAGACAAAAATCCAGTGGGTTCAAGACTCCATTTACACCACGACAGGTTCAAGCCATCAAGGAACCTGTACCATTCTTAAGGTATGCAATGAATAACAGCATGTCAGGTTCAAGGCATCAAGGAACCTGTACCATTCTTAAGGTATGCAATAAATAACAGCATGTCAGGTTCAAGCCATCAAGGAACCTGTACCATTCTTAAGGTATGCAATCAATAACAGTATGTCAGGTTCAAGCCATCGAGGAACCTGTACCATTCTTAAGGTATGCAATGAATAACAGCATGTCAGGTTCAAGCCATCAAGGAACCCGTACCATTCTTAAGGTATGCAATCAATAACAGCATGTCAGGTTCAAGCCATCAAGGAACCTGTACCATTCTTAAGGTATGCAATGAATAACAGCATGTCAGGTTCAAGCCATCAAGGAACCTGTACCATTCTTAAGGTATGCAATCAATAACAGCATGTCAGGTTCAAGCCATCAAGGAACCTGTACCATTCTTAAGGTATGCAATCAATAACAGCATGTCAGGTTCAAGCCATCAAGGAACCTGTACCATTCTTAAGGTATGCAATCAATAACAGCATGTCAGGTTCAAGCCATCAAGGAACCTGTACCATTCTTAAGGTATGCAATCAATAACAGCATGTCAGGTTCAAGCCATCAAGGAACCTGTACCATTCTTAAGGTATGCAATCAATAACAGCATGTCAGATTCAAGCCATCAAGGAACCTGTACCATTCTTAAGGTATGCAATCAATAACAGTATGTCAGGTTCAAGCCATCAAGGAACCTGTACCATTCTTAAGGTATGCAATGAATAACAGCATGTCAGGTTCAAGCCATCAAGGAACCTGTACCATTCTTAAGGTATGCAATAAATAACAGCATGTCAGGTTCAAGCCATCAAGGAACCTGTACCATTCTTAAGGTATGCAATCAATAACAGCATGTCAGGTTCAAGCCATCAAGGAACCTGTACCATTCTTAAGGTATGCAATCAATAACAGTATGTCAGGTTCAAGCCATCAAGGAACCTGTACCATTCTTAAGGTATGCAATGAATAACAGCATGTCAGGTTCAAGCCATCAAGGAACCTGTACCATTCTTAAGGTATGCAATCAATAACAGTATGTCAGGTTCAAGCCATCAAGGAACCTGTACCATTCTTAAGGTATGCAATGAATAACAGCATGTCAGGTTCAAGCCATCAAGGAACCTGTACCATTCTTAAGGTATGCAATAAATAACAGCATGTCAGGTTCAAGCCATCAAGGAACCTGTACCATTCTTAAGGTATGCAATGAATAACAGCATGTCAGGTTCAAGCCATCAAGGAACCTGTACCATTCTTAAGGTATGCAATCAATAACAGTATGTCAGGTTCAAGCAATCAAGGAACCTGTACCATTCTTAAGGTATGCAATGAATAACAGCATGTCAGGTTCAAGCCATCAAGGAACCTGTACCATTCTTAAGGTATGCAATCAATAACAGTATGTCAGGTTCAAGCCATCAAGGAACCTGTACCATTCTTAAGGTATGCAATGAATAACACCACGACAGGTTCAAGCCATCAAGGAACCTGTTCCATTCTTAAGGTATGCAATAAATAACAGCATGTCAGGTTCAAGCCATCAAGGAACCTGTACGATTCTTAAGGTATCCAATCAATAACAGTATGTCAGGTTCAAGCCATCAAGGAACCTGTACCATTCTTAAGGTATGCAATGAATAACAGCATGTCAGGTTCAAGCCATCAAGGAACCTGTACCATTCTTAAGGTATGCAATCAATAACAGCATGTCAGGTTCAAGCCATCAAGGAACCTGTACCATTCTTAAGGTATGCAATGAATAACAGCATGTCAGGTTCAAGCCATCAAGGAACCTGTACCATTCTTAAGGTATGCAATGAATAACAGCATGTCAGGTTCAAGCCATCAAGGAACCTGTACCATTCTTAAGGTATGCAATGGATAACAGCATGTCAGGTTCAGGCCATCAAGGAACCTGTACCATTCTTAAGGTATGCAATAAATAACAGCAAGTCAGGTTCAAGCCATCAAGGAACCTGTACCATTCTTAAGGTATGCAATCAATAACAGTATGTCAGGTTCAAGTCATCAAGGAACCTGTACCATTCTTAAGGTATGCAATGAATAACAGCATGTCAGGTTCAAGCCATCAAGGAACCTGTACCATTCTTAAGGTATGCAATGAATAACAGCATGTCAGGTTCAAGCCATCAAGGAACCTGTACCATTCTTAAGGTATGCAATGAATAACAGCATGTCAGGTTCAAGCCATCAAGGAACCTGTACCATTCTTAAAGTATGCAATAAATAACAGTATGTCAGGTTCAAGCCATCAAGGAACCTGTACCATTCTTAAGGTATGCAATAAATAACAGCATGTCAAGTTCAAGCCATCAAGGAACCTGTACCATTCTTAAGGTATGCAATAAATAACAGCATGTCAGGTTCAAGCCATCAAGGAACCTGTACCATTCTTAAGGTATGCAATAAATAACAGCATGTCAGGTTCAAGCCATCAAGGAACCTGTACCATTCTTAAGGTATGCAATAAATAACAGCATGTCAGGTTCATAAGCCATCAAGGAACCTGTACCATTCTTAAGGTATGCAATAAATAACAGCATGTCAGGTTCAAGGCATCAAGGAACCTGTACCATTCTTAAGGTATGCAATAAATAACAGCATGTCAGGTTCAAGCCATCAAGGAACCTGTACCATTCTTAAGGTATGCAATAAATAACAGCATGTCAGGTTCAAGCCATCAAGGAACCTGTACCTTTCTTAAGGTATGCAATAGATAACAGTATGTCAGGTTCAAGCCATCAAGGAACCTGTACCATTCTTAAGGTATGCAATAAATAACAGCATGTCAGGTTCAAGCCATCAAGGAACCTGTACCATTCTTAAGGTATGCAATAAATAACAGTATGTCAGGTTCAAGCCATCAAGGAACCTGTACCATTCTTAAGGTGTGCAATAAATAACAGTATGTCAGGTTCAAGCCATCAAGGAACCTGTACCATTCTTAAGGTATGCAATAAATAACAGCATGTCAAGTTCAAGCCATCAAGGAACCTGTACCATTCTTAAGGTATGCAATAAATAACAGTATGTCAGGTTCAAGCCATCAAGGAACCTGTACCATTCTTAAGGTATGCAATAAATAACAGCATGTCAGGTTCAAGCCATCAAGGAACCTGTACCAATGAATAACAGCATGTCAGGTTCAAGCCATCAAGGAACCTGTACCATTCTTAAGGTATGCAATGAATAACAGCATGTCAGGTTCAAGCCATCAAGGAACCTGTACCATTCTTAAGGTATGCAATGAATAACAGCATGTCAGGTTCAAGCCATCAAGGAACCTGTACCATTCTTAAGGTATGCAATCAATAACAGCATGTCAGGTTCAAGCCATCAAGGAACCTGTACCATTCTTAAGGTATGCAATGAATAACAGCATGTCAGGTTCAAGCCATCAAGGAACCTGTACCATTCTTAAGATATGCAATAAATAACAGCATGTCAGGTTCAAGCCATCAAGGAACCTGTACCATTCTTAAGGTATGCAATAGATAACAGCATGTCAGGTTCAAGCTGTGAAGAAATGTGGAAAAGCGGAGACATTTGGAAATGTAAACCTATTTAATTGTGTCAGTCTGGGCATTTCAATTTTAGAATTCATATGGTCGCCATTCATCAAAGTCAACATGTGTGCATTTGACATATACATGTTGTATGTAATGTTTATATATTTAATTGAGGAATATTTCAGCCCATTGTTTAGGATGTCAAACAAACAGAATGTGATGAAGGAGTCTGTCTCTGGTATAAATGAACGGCTGCATTCGACATATACATTTTGTATGTATGTTTATATATTTAATTGAGGAATATTTCAGCCCATTGTTGAGGATGTCAAACAAACAGAATGTGATGGAGGAGTCTGTCTCTGGTATGAATGAACGGCTGCTCAATCTAGAGTCCACCTTAATGGCACAGATGAGAGAGATGAACGAGACCTTACAAACATCACATATGAATGCGTCACACATGAATGCGTCACACATGAATGCAACATGTGCCCATGAGATGAGCACTATGGGAAGTTCAGTTGCTGAGTAAGTATTAATTTTGACATCAAAATGTTTAGAATAGTCATGTCGAGTTTAATTATCCCACTGAACAAAGTGCATAGAGATGAGGAGAAGCCATCCGTTTAGTCAGTCTGATGCTTTTTTGGACAAAGGAGCATCAATCAAGAAAATTTTTCAGGATGGCCTCTGATGTAATCTTTGATAACTCAAATACAAGTTAATAGATTTGGTTCAAATGTTATATGCTGATGCTTTAAAAACACATTAGGAGCTCTGCTCAAGAAGAAATTTCAAAATGGCCACTGAAGTTCAAAATGGCCTCCATTATTAGTAAAAATGTTATAGTTGGGAACAATATATTTTGGTTAACAGACTTGGTTAATATTTTCTGTGCTTTGGGGACAAAGGAAGCTGTTCAATAATTTTTCAAGATGGCTGTTTAATATAAAATTTCCACCATTTTTCATGAAAAAAGTGTTATTTTGATTACTTAATTACCAGTTTTTAGTCCAAATTTTATAGGCTAATGTCAAATGGGCATAGAACAATTTGACCACTCAATTCAAAATGGTCACCATTTTTTGCTGAAATATAAATCTTTGATAACTCAAATACCACCAACAGATTTGGTTCAAATGCCATATGGACATAGAAATCAGCCCAAGAAGTCATTTTTAAAATGACTGCTGTGTTCAAAATAGCCACTTTATTTCATAAATTTTTTTTTCTCATTACTTAAAAACTGATTGTCAGATTTGATACAGATTTTTTTGCCAATGGCTTATTGGTATAGGACTTTGGTCAAAAAGCCTTAATCAAAGGCTATTATGTACTATTGCTATGATGGTTAAAGGAATATTCCTTGCCAGACCCTTTCTCTCTTGATATGGTAGCTATAATCATAAATATAGTTTCCATATTTAGCAAAACATGGGAAAATGTTTTAATATGGTCAATATTGATCATTTAAAAATCTGGTGCTTATTTCCAGTGAGCTGCCATCTTTTAAGATTTCTTGCAGGAAGTGATGTCATCAACTCTCAACTTCTATAACCTTGCCCATAACAGTATAGGAAAGTAGCACAAAATCACTTCTAGACAAGTGATCATTACTTTCTGTGCAAAAATATTTTCAGGGCTTGTCAACTTAGAATAAAAGAAGAGATTTTCAGAAGGATTAAATAAGATACAAAGTTGAAAAAGAATATTTAGCTGGTTTTGTAATTCTTAATAGCTCCTCACCTAATGCTATATGCAAAGTTGAGAGTCGATGACATCACTTCCTGTGTGAAAGATGGCAGCTTACTGGAATTGAGCATCACATTTCTAAGTGATCAAATTTGACCATATCAAAACATTTTTGCGTGTTTTGCTAAACATCGCAAGCATATACATTTATATGGTTATAGCTACCATATGAGGAGAGAGATGGTTTAGCAAGGAATATTCCTTTAAGGGGTAGAGTTCCTTGTGACATCATTCAACAGATAATCACATGAACAGCTCTATTGAAAGTTTTTACAAGGAAAACATGTTAAACAAGAAAACTGAATCAGACAGAAGTTTAGCTGTTTAATAACAGCTTACATCAATGTAAAGTTAGAATCTACTTATTTTCATTTTTAATACTTGTTAACTCTTTGCAATACTAAATTGAAAAATATGTATGATATAGATCATCAATATTTATTATTTATTGTAAATTCTATGTCACACATATTTAAGTTGCTGGTTTACACAACAGAATTCTCTTCAATTCTCGTTTAAATTTTTTACCAAAGATAAAGTAAAATATAACATTGCAGGATGAATTACAAACCACCACAAAATTTACTGCTAAACCTATCAAGTTAAATAGACGATATGAAATATATATGGAAGTTAAGTTAAAAATACTTGTGTAACTAATCATTGAATATATGACTTGACTAATAGAGGATAATAGGAATACAGACACAATAGCTATCATTGTTAAAGTTTGTTTCCTGTCCTCGACCGCAGCTTCACTCAATTGTTGACAATTCCGCTGTGATTGTCTGACAGATTGGACCAGCTTAAAGTTTAGTATTGAAACTGATATCACTGGTACAGTGTATTGGAAGATGCTGACAAGAATTCGAATTGTCAGCAGAGAAGGTCCACAGTTTTCAAAGAAGCATACAAAGAAAGGAATGACAAGTATAATGGATGAAATTGTCAAAATTCCCACTGCTATTCTCATACGTTTGATGGTAGCAATACTTGTAGCTTCAAGTGGTTTTGCGGTGTGAATATATCGGTCAACTGTTACCAAGACAACCATCCATATTGACATTGTCCAAGTTGTGCCGGTAAACCATACTCCAGCTCTGACGAAATTGAATCCCAGATTAATATAAAGATTCAAGTCAATGTTTAAATCCCCTGGCAATGTAAATATGGTATAACATGTCAAAAATAGCAAGTCGGTGAGAGCTAGTGTTTTTAGCAAAAACACACGTGTGCTTTTTGATTTGTCTTTCGATAGAACTATCAGTGCTAAAATGTTTCCTATCAGTCCAAATAAAATCGCAACTATTTGCAATATGTGTAGCACAAGGTAAATATACCAAAAGCTAATATTTTCAGTGTAGGCACTATTGTCAAAGTTATCCAGTACGCTTTTGTTTGTATCGAGGCTGTTGTTCAGATCAGTAGTGTTGTAGTCCAGTAGGCTTATATTGTTCAGATCTACATTGTTCAGACTTACATTGCTCGAACTTGCATTGTTCAGACTTGCATTGCTGGAACTTGCATTGTTCAAACTTGCATTGCTGGAACTTGCATTGTTCAAACTTGCATAATATAGATACATACTCATATGTTGTAGGAACTCATTATAATGTTCTTTTGATATTTTATAGTACTACATCCATATTGTCATTTATGTTCCAAGCTATATGTAACAATCATTTAAGTCAAGATACATTCTGCGTGCGAGTGTTCAAATCATTTGTTCATTGTTTGGGTTTCGCAGTTTAATGATAATGCTATTCCAGAATGGTTTGCCTTTCATACAGATTTTTCAATTTAAATTACAGTTTTTTGCATCTGTGTTACGGGAGTACCCTGTGTTGTTTTACTCTGCTGAATGAAAATCTATCATGCATAATTGATGCCAACCCTTGATAAAGATACACGAAGCATGCAGAAGATGTGCTATAATTAAATGCCCTTTTCTTTGATTTCAGCTCAAGGCTAAATAAATACCACACATTTTCATATATTACCATTTCCAATTCTCTTAATTCACTCTTTTACCATTTTTTCAAGAATGATATTTTTGAAGGGATTCATAGATATAAGAGAATCATTTAAATAATGAGGAAAAGTTACTATTTAGATAACCATTTTTATTATTGAAGTAAAACAGATATCCTACTTTATTCTAATTGCTGAGGCATCATTTAGAATGTAATGTTAGTAAGGCCAATATGGGTATTTGTTTAAGGGCTTGAGCAAGCTATTGGTAGCACTTTTAGTCCCATAGAAGTGGATTTTCAAACTTGCTAGAAGAAAACATTTTCCTGAATCATAATTTTACTTAATGTCTTACCTTTCATTTTTTATTGACCCAGAGATAACTTTTTGCATCGATGTTGAAAAAAATCAGGATGATATTACAAGCCCCAACTTTGGCTCTTCGGAAAGGACACACACATAATTGCAATTATAAAGGGTATATATAAGTTTCAATATATGTTCCACATTTTTTGTTTTAAAGCATGCACATATATGGTTCTAAATAACTAATAGTTTTTATCTGAATCATTATCATAGAAATGAATAAGGAAGACCAATCTCGTCACTTGGCCCGTGATTTCGGCAAAAAAGTTCAATCATTTTTCCAATTACGATAATACTTAATAATGTTGAATATCCTGTTGATTTTTCCTTCTGTCTGAATCATTACAAAGTCCTTAATAATGTTTGATTATATATGAGACAATCATGATAGTATATATGTGTACCATATGACGAAACTACACTTGTCCAAAGCTCTTCGGAAAGGACATTTTTTAGTGTATTGCTAAATACTGTTTAACAGATTGAATTTGAGGGAGCAATTTTCGGAGATTGTACATTTGTTTCTATTCATGTATTCATGTTTTCGAGATTTACCACTGATTACATCATTAACTGTGATTTTTCATAGGTAAATATATGGGCGATAATAGGGCAAAACATCATTAAAGTCATCACTTTAAGGCTATCATGAATGTACTTGTAGTTTTTTAGTTGCTGGGCTGGGGACATGTAGGCCTATGAAACAGCATTATGCACAGAAACGACTCAATTGTTGGTGGTAATTGTCAGTGAATTGAACAATTTTATATTTGCGGCATTCTTCATTTGCAATTTTACACTTGAGTGTTTTAAAGGGTTTTACAGTTCTGTTCAAATCAAGATTCAATGTAATATTTGTAAACATTGTGCTAATGCCTTTATACACCAGTAGAAAAGTTAGTTATAGACATCCAATACAGCATTCCTAATCAGAGACTGAATTGCTCTTCGGAAAGGACACATTTACTTTTGTAGTTTCTGTTTAAGTCTTAGTTACTTCAGTAAAGATATTTTATGTATAAAAGTTCATCAGAAAATATATTCCAGTGTGTTTCTCTTCAATATTGTTGGTAAATGCACTGTTTTGACAGAGTTTGTCTTTTCCGAAGAGCTCTTCGGAAAGGACTTTTTTCTTGTGTCGGAATTTTAAAATTGATTTTACAGGTATATATGACAGTTCAAAGCTATTTATTTGTTTTGAATATTCAAGAAACTAAATGCATTTTGTTTTAAAATAGTTTTTAGGGTATCATATTACTTCAGTCTTAAAATACACATGCTCTTCGGAAAAGACATTTGTGTGTCGGAAAATCAGTTAGTTATTTTGAGAGCCAATATCTCAGGAACCACTACAGCCTTTTCTATAATTTTTTTAGTGACAGAATTTTAACACTCCGTACTTTTGATTTCATCTTAAAGCAAAGATTGGAAAATATGTTGAAAAATTCATTCTTTTTTTAACATAAAATTTACAATGAAATGTTACACCAACGGTTGTGTGCTACAAGCGGTTATAAAAAACTCTATACACTATTATGGACACACTTGTTGCATATCATTTTAAAGCAAGTTCCTTAATCTTTCCAATGCAGCCAAATTACTTTAACTTACTCTATTCAAGTACATGTTTGAAGTATATATGTAAATGTGGATTTTTTCTTGGGAATTTGTTACATAGAGAATAAGGCATATTTTGATACATGAAAATTTATAAAAAAAAAAATCATTCATCTTTCAAAAAAATGATATCTTCCTCAGACATATAGTGGGTATACCTAATTAATAAGACTGATTTCCCATCTGTATCTTAAGCCTTGCATTTTTTCTGGGTGCTAATATGAAAGTGCTACCAATAGCTTGCTCAAGCCCTTAATTAAATTACAAAATGTTTGTGTTTATTTAGCATTTAAAATGACATTCAAGTGATTCGACAATTGGTGCTGCTCATTTTCAAAATGCATTATTGATGCCTAGATCTTTGTTAATGAGCTGCAATTATATTTTTCTAGATCTCTTCTGTAGGCAAGTGTCGAGTAGTCTGACAGACTGCAGATCTACATCTATAGATGACATTTTAGCCTTGCCCAAGTCCGTCTCTTTTACTTGTTTTGATTTCTATAATGAGGTAATAATTCAAGATCGGATAATTAAAAATACCGACTTGGGCAAGGCTAAAGAAGTTTGCTCCTGTAATGAATTACTTCTTTAGCTCATTCTACAATAATTTTTTAAATCAATTGATCAAATTTACAGAATTTACTCATTATAATTTAATTAAAAATAGAGAATGCTAATAGTGTTAGCCTTTTGCCAGCAGAAGGTAGTTTGACCCCATTTTGAGATGTAGTGTCCAAAAGGTAGGTCAATAAATTCAATATTATTGGATTTGATTCAAATTCTATAGGTTATGAGCATGACATCTGCTTGAGAAGGAATTTTCAATATTGCCACTCAATTCAAAATGGCTACCATTTTTCCGAAAAAATGTAATCTTTGATAACTCAAATACCAGTTGACAGATTTGGTTCAAAATATATGATGGTGCCTTAGAGTCCACTCAGGATGAAATTTACAATATAGCCTCTCAATTTCAAAATGGCTAACATTTTTAATAAAAAATGTAATCTTAATTTTTAATAACTCAAATACCAATTATGGAATTTGGTCCAAACTTTATAGGTTAACAGTCTTATGGGCAAAGGACCTCTGCTCAAGAAGGCATTTTCAATATGTAATTTCCAAATGGCTGCCATTTTTCTTAAAAAAATGTAGGATGTGACAACTCAAGTACCAGTTGACAGATTTGCTCACATCATGGGTGTAGATTTTGCCAAAAGGAGACAATACTACTCTTCTATTTTCTGGTTATTTCCATCATGTAATAATGTTCGGTGGAATTTGCTGCTACGCAGAGTTGCTGTTTTCTATAGTTACAGAGTGTTATGTATTGATCATGTAATGTGCATAGCAAGTGATATGTATAACTCTTGAATTTAATAATATAATTTAAATTTATTCCTTTGCTATTTTCAGTGATGCCCTGAAGGAGATAAACAACAAACTACAAGAGCTCAAAGAGCAACAGCAAAAGATGCAACAACAACAACAAGAAAGTAAGTCTTTTTTATCGTTTAATACACCAATTGCTTTGAGGCAATTTTCTTATTTCAGTGCATTTTGTTCTTATCAAGCTTCTTTTTATCGTACCTAAAAAAATATGTCATTGTCGTCAGCTAGTGATGGTCGGCATCTCACTTTTTGTCTCATCGCAATTCCAGGAAAACCACTTAACAAACTAATGTATCATTCTCACATAATATAATATAGGTGACAGGACATTTTTAGTTACCCAACATATCCTATGAATATGAGAACATTCCATTTTGTATTCTTCAAGTTCTAGTCTAGTTTTATTATAGAGGTCCAACTAATTATGCATGTCACATTACTCCTTGTGCTCAACTAGACCTCAATGAACATCTAATTATTATTTCAGGGGCACCCAGTAAGGGGGTGCCATCAGGGCTTGCTGACGTCACAAACAGTCCTCTGTTCTGTAATAACCTCCCACCAAAGATCAAACGTCGTGGATTTAAGTCCAGTGCTGCACCACGTAATGACGATGGTAAGTCATGACTTGTTATTTCTCTGAATATAATAAAAAGGTAATTGAAGATTTAACATGCTGAAATGTCTGATTTCATCAAAAGTGAAAAAAGGGACAACCCTGAAATAAAGTTGGATTTTTGGACCAAATAACTGGGAAAATAGATTGCAGAATTGTGTTTTTATGTCACCATCTTTTTGTGAATGACGTTCGGTGATCAGCATTCGGCATTTGTAACAAATGGTAGGCAGTGACATTTTGCATATTAATACCTTGTTTCAAAACTTACTCTTGCCTTGTTTGTAGATCCTTTTAGCCCCTTTAAGTAGTACATGTACATTTATATCAATGAATCAAACAAAGTTGTTATCAACTATAGTTACTTATATTTAAGAGCTTGAAACATTACACAACGTCTTGCTGTCTGTATTTCACAAGGCACCTGCCGATGGCACAATATTTTCTGTTTTTTATGAAAATCATTGAACAGTGGTTTTATTCATGTTATTTGGCATATAGTTTTTTAAATGGTTTTCTATAGAAAGTGATGTTTTTAGGCCAAAGTATGTTATACATACATACTTACATGTATGGTAATGTCAGAGTGTATTAAATATGAATTTTGTATCCCAGTTGAGTTCATGGAAATGAAATATATTTAAAGTCACAGTGTTTTTAATGAAAGAGAATTCAGTCCAGTTTTCTATGTTGTTTCTGCTTATCACGTACACACATCCTCCACCCACAACATTTTAGACAGCCACAACACAAAATCCACACCATTATCTTAATCACAAGCCCAGTAACAATTAAGACATCAAGCATGTACAGTTCATAGAATGCCAACTCGTGATTCTGTGATCTCAAATGTGCACCACCGAACTTCATCACATGATTTACCCAGAATGCAATTTCTTTCTGAGGTGATGGATAATCATGGAGAATTTCCGAAGCTCTTTTGATTGAATTCTTGTAGCTTGTATTTCCGGTGATTTTTTCAATGGTTTGTTGGAGCTCTTCAGATGTGAAGGTGGCAATATCCATAGTTTCAGAGTAGCCTTTTTCTTTGACCCTAAGTGCATTGAAAGTTTGATCCATGCCCATGGGGAAAGTTAACATGGGGACTGCATGGTAGACCGCCTCCATCTGGCCTGTGCCTCCACCATGTGTAATAAAAAGTTTGGTCTTGGGATGACCCAGGATATCATTTTGAGGGATCCATGGCCTTATATGGACATTTTCTGGTTTGATTATATCAGGTGGAATCTCTGCAACATGGCGCATGAGAACTGTTAGCCTGACTTTTCTGAAAGCTGCAAAGAATTTCTCAAGCTGTTGATTGGTCAGGCCAACACCCGCTGCTGATCCAAACGTCATGATAATGACACCATTTGACTGTTGCATTAAGGTCTCGAGATCACTAGATAAAGGTTTAGGGTCTTTGATTCCTAGTCCATAAACGTAACGGAATGATGGCATTGAAATCCTTGGGTAATCCACAACTGTTGTTTCTATGGTAACCATGTACATTTCTGCATCAGCATAAAGCATTTTCAGTGATTTCATTGGTTTGTCAGGAGCAAGTTCTTTAACAATAGTGTTGTCATGACTTGGCTGGACGATAGAAGATAATAGAGTTTTGAACAAATTCCCACATCGTTGCTTGAATGTCATTTTATTTGAAAATGCCGTCATCAGATATGGCTCAATGGAGGGTAGGACTGGCATCCCATAATTCCAAGGGTCGGTACAAATTCCTGCCAGTGTCATATACTTCACATTTAAGTAATATGGAATGATGTATGAATATCTGTTAACCAATGAACCATCAACAATCACAAGATCAAAATTAGCAGTCTTTAGCTTATTCATGATGTCACTGTCGCTGAAAATCACTTGTACATCCTCAATAGCTAAATCAGCAACTTTCTGAATTTCTCCAAATAAGGTTATTTGTTTGAACATTCGGTCTTCTTTGACGATTTTTGCCATGTGTTCTCTTTGAGTTCTTATCTTAGCAAATGCAGGAGAGTCATAAAGCAACAGCTCCAATCCTGGAATGGATACATGATCCTTGTATTGTGCTCTTGTTACCATAGTAACGCCATGTCCCTCTGTACGTAGTATCTCTGCAAGATTTTTAAACATGTTTACGAAACTAAGATGATCAGACGGCAAGAGAAGTATCTTTCCAGATTGACATTGTGTCATAATTGTTGTGTACATCACCATAGCGATGACAAAGCATTTGTTGAGTGTTGATGCCATGTTTCTGAAACATGAAATCCAAAACTTATAATGAAATATTCTCCTTGCTTAGTCCATCATTTTACTTCTCATATACTTTTGATAAAAACCATCAATGCTTGCTTTATGTAGAAAGTACTTCTGTTTATTGTTTAAACTGTCCTTGTCGTTAAGCTCTATATTACACACACATACATGTATATGGACATGTATTGAAAACTTGGTGAGCATAGAAATCACTTCTGACTGTAGTATCCAAATGCTGTACTATCCTATATAAAGATTTCTAAATATAAGGCTGTTGTACAGTTGTACACCAATATTTAAATAGCATGTTGGGTTGTTTACATTAAAAGGTCATGGGCCATTCATGTAGTAGTAGCATTATTTGGCAAAGTTCCACACACTGTTTGTTGACTTTTGTTGTGTATTTAAGCATTGGACACTAATGACATCTTTCAAAGAGTTCATTTTTATTCTTATGATAAATTGTATACTCACAAATATTGCACAGGTCCTTAAGTACCATGGTACTTAACAGAAAATGACAAAACAGAAAGTGACAAAACTATGCTAAACATTTTTTGAACCAAGATAACAGAGTTCTGAAATCTTTTGAATTTTTCAGAAAATGTGCCCAATATACAGGTATTGCTCTAAATGATACAATTTTTGAAATTAGTATCATTCCTAGAAAAAGAAAAAAAATGAAAAAAAAACATTTTCAGAGGGCTAAAAAAGTTATTTCATCATGTTTAGGGTAATTCTGACCATGTGCATTGTGATCCTGGCCATGTAAATGATATGTGGAATTAGTTAAACTGACTGGAGGTCAAAACAGAACTCTTTTATCTTGGTTCAAAAAATATTCAAATTCCAGCATGGTTTTGTCACTTTCTGTTTTGTCATTTCCTGTTAAGAACCATGGCACCTTAAACGTGTAATTACAATACTTTTTATGCCCATATTTCAGATTTCCTCAACACTCCTACAAAGGCCCTCAGGTCATCAGTGATAAACCCAGAGGCACAGAAAAGGCACAGTGAGTATAGGTTGTGGACATCACCCACATTGACATCTCTGTTGGGCAGTACCTCTTATATTGATTCCAGATTTGCATCTAAAAATTTAATGCCTCCAAAATTTAAGAATTCTTAAGACTTAAATGTTACACAAATGAAAATTCAAAATCCTTCAAAGATACTCTGAAAAATAACAAAATCCTAATTCTAAAGAAATCATAGGAGAGCACCCATTGTACCTTTGGATTCTGTTTGAAATTAAAAATAGAGTTGAAAAGGTAAAATGGGATTCAAGAGAATTATGCCAAATCAAATTATTTTGTGTATCTATAATTTGAATGTAAAGGAGCAGTTTAATTCAAGAAGATTTGAATAATTTATACTTATTATAAGCTATCATAGCTATTTTATGTCTTTTCTTCTGTATTAGTAAGAGGAAGTTTCTTTAAATTATTTTTTGACACTGAATAAAATCAGTTGCCACTGAGATTTGATAGAAAACAAAATGTGTTCTCTATTTGTAATACATTTTGTTTACCACTCACAAAATATGCAATAAAATGTGCATAATTTTCTATGTTCAGTAATATTTCCAAAATAAACATCAAACAGTGTGAGGAATAGAAAATGGCTAAAGCAAGCAAAAATTTAAACATGCAATGATCTGTCGTTAAATGCTCAATACAAGAGGTGTTATAAATATATCATTCACAAATTGTACATGTTTTTTCAGATGATGACGTTCTGAAATTGCTCAACACTGGCTCTATAAAGGAGCTACAAGTGCTACAGAAAGTTGGCCAGAAACGTGCAGAGTTAATCAAGAACTGGCGACAGCTGCATGGTGACTTCACTAAAGTCGAAGATCTCACAAAAGTACCTGGTCTAAATAAGAGATACGTTGAGGGATTTTTACTATGCAATCTTGTTGTTAAAGTCACATAATCATTTGTTTTAGTTGAGTTTTAGTATCTCATTTTAGTTTAGTTTATTCATACATTGTATATCAGTTTTTATGCTAATTCTACATAGAGCGTTTGTAGGATGTTTTTTAAGAGAAACAATGGACATATCATATATTGTTACACTATATATCATAAATATTTCATACTTTGGTGTCTGTATGACTTCATGATGTTTCAGACAAGAATCTGAAGAGCTTTTGTTTGGATATGTGTGCATGCATGAAAACATAAGACATTTTCACAAACATAGCATGCAATGTTGTCTGTATAGAAAGAAGACATTTTAGCTCATATGCAGATCCAGGATTTTGTGCTAGAGGGGGTGGTAATATATCCCAAAAATGTGCAAGTGTGAATGAATGTTCAGCATATGCTATGGGTGTGCACCCATAATTTTTGAAAATACAGCGTAATTTATGGCAACCTGAGCATTCTCCCACAGTTAAAATATGAATGACGCCATGAAGAAAGGATTCTAGATGAATTTTCTGGGAAATTCTAACACTATCACAGGTATTTTGTTGGATTTTTGGGGAAAGAAATTTTGAAACATTTTAGGGGGAGGCGCGCACCCCCGACACTCCCCCTAGATACAAAAACATTTCAAACTGTTTCAGACAAGGATCTAATAAGGCTTTTAACAAGAGCTTTTGTAAGGATATGCATTGAAGAGAATCATGTATTGAAGTCTGTATAGAACAATGACATTCTGAAAATGGGAAAATGGGTACAACCTCAAGTTTAAACCCACTTTATAATTCTTCAAAAGTTGGACATGTAATATACCAATGAATATATACTGTTAATTACATTTCCAGTAAAATGATACATCACTCAAAATCACTAGATTTGTGTGTACCATGTGTGTGATTCCCTTTTAACCAGATTTTAAGGACATGAATGGCATGTCATATTTGTCATAGTTTTATAGATATTTATGTCACCACCACAAGGGGTAACATCTTGTTGTAGTCTCCAACTTTGTGTAGGTGCTGTTTTGCGGTTGGTCATTGACATCTGTAATAGCATGCACTGGTTGGCATCTATAACAAATGGCAGGTGGTGACATTTTGCATATTTTTGCCATGTTTTATATAGTTTTTGTTATTTGTTACCAAATTGTTGAAGTCAAAGTGTACCAATAGTTTTGATGGTAGGTACACTGCGTTTTCAAACTAATATGATTGGTGGCCCATTTTTGAAGCCCAGGGCCGTACTGACTTCATGTTCATCAATCTTTGTAAGTGGAACCCTTTGTGTTCTTTATGGCATGCAATTTTCACAGTTCCACTGTGTACCCATTTAAACTTGTAACTTGCGAAATTGCAAATCTGTACGTAAACATATGTAACATAGCTATTTTTGTAAATAAAATCCAGTATAAATACTAGAAAAACTATTTTTTGTACAGTCTACCTCCTGATAAGCTGTAACTTATTTTGAAAAACATCAACACTTTTATGATGATATGTGTATTTCTCGCTCCAATATATTTTTTAGATAAAAATAACTAAAAGATTGTTCATTCAATAATATATTTCTTAAGCTTAAGTATGTATATAGTACATCTAAAATGTTTTTGTTGATTCATAGCACGATTTTGATTTAAAGGCAGAATCAGAACAAAATTACAAGCAACATGTACAATTGACCTCCCATTCTATTCCTTACAATCTCAAATACAATTGTTATAAATTGATGAAGTTATCATGGATTCAAACAGCATGAATGAACAGCAGGATACAGAAACATCATGCAGAAGCAAAACATTATACAACAAATATTTCGGGGAATACTTGTGAATCTTTCTAAATATTTTACAACAGATTGCGGATGGGCAATGGTTTGTCAATAAAAAACACAAAGTTGTGCACAAATTTGTCTAAGTATAAATAACTTAACCTATAAGCCTAATAAACCTTGATAAATACGTCGAAGTATAAGAATAATTTATCTCGCTCACGTCTGCACTTGGTAAGAAGGTACCCTAACCATATTCCATTATATCGCCAAACTTTCTTTAATGTCTCATTTTTACCATCCATGTACAAAGAAGAAAGTTCCTTGCAAGGGCAATTACTAAGCACGTCCAGTTCTACGTTCATCAACTGTCTTTTTTAATTTAATAATATTTTGTGATGTGTCCATAGCAACAATAACGCTGCTGATGTTATATTAAAAGTCATAGCGATGTCATGGAATGAACCACTAAAATACTTTGTATATAATCTTCGGGGAGATCAGGTTTCAAGAAGTTAATCCAAAACCTTCCATTACCTAAACCTCATTTATCCTACAGTATGACAAGTGGTTCAAGATACAAAACAGAGGAACATAGAAACAGTACCTTGGGAAATCGAGATATATTTATTTATCCCATACTTGGACGTGTAACAGGTACATAAAGCCGGTTTGTAAAAACTTATATTTTCATCAGCGGGCAGATATAGAGATTATCCTATATGAGGTTCAGGATATTGGGATTATCCAGAGGCCAATATAATATATCTGCCCGAGGGCCGTAGGTCCCGAGGGCAGATATTTACAAACCAGCTTTATGTACCCTAACACGTCCAAGTATGGGATAAATAGAGATTATCCTATATGAGGTTCATGATATTGGGATTATCCCGAGACCAATATAATATATCAGCCCGAGGGCCTTAGGTCCCGTGGGTAGATATATTATATTGGCCTCGGGATAATCCCAATATCCTGAACCGACTATAGGATGATCTGTTTAACTCATACCAATCACATTGTTCAACCGTGGAATTATTTTAAAATATTCATGTCCAGTTTTGTATTATTGTCCGTAGCCGGATTTTCCTGTTCAAATCTTTAATTATTAACGGGGCATACTGCACCTTTCCTACTTTAAAGCATCAAACAGATCACGATTGTCTGCGTTTTTCTCCATTGTCGTTTACAGTATGCGAACGTTAAAAAAAGAACCAATACGGGAACAGTACCCGTACCACGTCCCATACATGTACTTGGACGTGTTACAGGTACATGAAGCCGGTTTGTAAAAACGTATATTTTCATAAGCGGGCAGATATAGCTTTACGTCCCGCTCCGAGCGGGCAGATATAGTATATCTGCCCGCTACGTCATAATCGCCGTTCCCATATTGGTTCATTCTTTGTAACGTTCGCATGTTGTAAACGACAATGGAGAAAAACGCAGACAATCGCGATGCCCTGTTAATAATCAAAGATTAGAACAGGAAAATACGGCTACGGACAAGAATACAAAACTGGACATGAATATTCTAAAATAATTCCACGGCTGGTTGCAAAGTTTCTGAACTGTGGCCAAACGTGAACAAAGTGAACCAAATGACAAAGATTGGTATGGGATAAACAGATCATCTTATAGTCGGTTCAGGATATTGGGATTATCCCGAGGCCAATATAATATATCTGCCCGAGGCCGTAGGTCATATAGGATAATCTCTATTTACGTCCCGCTCCGAGCGGGCAGATATAGTATATCTGCCCGCTACGTCATAATCGCCGTTCGCATATTGGTTCATTTTTTGTAACGTTCGCAGACAATCGCGATCTTTTTGATGCTTTGAGGAAGGGAAGGAGCAATATGCCCTGTTAATAATCAAAAATTTACCTCCACATTTACCACGGCAGCCGCATGGTGAATTTAAAATTTCTGTTGGTAATTAATACTTTTTTCATTTTATTTACATTAGGACAATTTATAGATATTATTCATAGTGCTAGGATGTAATATCAAATGATAAGTGATCGTGAAACATTGACAAATAATGATTCAATCTTGATGAGCCAGTTGATTTCTACGGGCACCGCAGAAATGAAAAATATTATAACTCCGAGTTATAATTTCTACGCCTTCCCTGCGGCCTGTAAAAATCTGCATGACACCCCAGTCACATTTCCTACGGCGACCTTGCGGTCTATCATTTCTGCGGCCAGTAACATATCTACGCTCGCCTTGGGATTTCTGCGCTCTCATACTTTTGCAGTCACATTTCCCACGCACGGTGAATTTTAAATTGCTGTTGATAAATAATACTTTTTTCATTTTATTTACATCGGGACAATTTATAAATGTTATTCATAGTGCTAGGATGTAATATCAAATGAAAAGTGATCGTGAAACATTGAAAAATAATGATTCAATCTTGTTGAGCCAGTTGATTTCTACGGGGACCTCAGAAATTAACACCCCAGTCACATTTGTCGCACGGCGGCCGCAGGTCGACCGCAGAACAATTAAATCGGTGAATTTCTGCGGCGAGCCTAGAAAAACTACGCTCGCCTTGCGGCCTCCGTGCGGCGAATGCAGATTTTTACAGGCCGCAGGGAAGGCGTAGAAATTATAACTCGGAGTTATAATTTTTGTTCATTTCTGAGGTCGCCGTAGAAATCAACAGCCCGTAGCCAGACCGCAGAAAGGTCGCACGGTGGCCGCACGTCGGGCTTGCGGTTGACTTGCGTCTGTCGTAGGGTTTTGATTATGTAATTTAGGAAACACGTTTTTAGGTCAGGTTTTCTATCATATCTTTGCTGTGAACACAAGGCAAAAATGTTACATGGCGCTTGTTGTACCTCAAAGACTCAGGTTGGGTTATCTGAGAATGCAGCTGAGGCGAGTGCAACGTGATCGGGATTACCTTATAGCTGCTCTCTAGATGCTGAAAGGGTAGCTCTACTAGCCCTTTTTAAAATGGGAAAAGGTAATGTACTCCAGATTTTGATGATTTCAATATGATTTTAAAGGCCAAGGTTATGAAAATAACAAAAAAATATTGAAAATTGTAACGTACTCACATAGAAATAATGTGGTAATGAAGGATACAATACAATACACATTACATTTATTCTGAAAGATGTCTGAGCCAAGAGCATTGATTTGTTCATTTTGATTTGTTTTGAATTTTTTACTGTAGATATTCTGCTTTCATTCTACTGACCATTCCATTTAATGTCTGTTGCCAACTCGGCCAACTTTGCCTCCTTTAGTTTGTTATTGCGATAGTTCTCATGCCGGAGATCAAATAGATATGGATGTCCCTCATAGAATTCTACTATTTTCTGGGTGACAGAGAAATCATCTTCATCACCCGAATCATCAAGGATGGCATTCTTTTTGTTCCTTTCTTTTGATACGTGTTGCCTCTTCTTTGGAGGCATGGTGAGTGAAATGTAATGGCATTTACTACAGTTGTCATAATATGGGGCCACATTTAAATACCACAACAACCTCTATATAAAATATTAACTATATTACTATTGGTCCATATGCTCCATATTTCACTCAACACTTTTTATTTCATATAAGATCCTACATGTAGACCTGTAAATAACATTTATAAATTGTACTCACAATATAATTATGATGTAAATGAAATCAAAATGAGTATCAATGTTTCTATTAAACGTGTGTACGGCTGCTGTAGATGCCAAAAGGCAAAACGGTCAACGTACGTTTGCCGCAGAGACACATTGCATATGCCCTTGTATTTGCAAAACACTACGCTCTCCGCAGGGAGACCGTACGGTGA